TTTTTTTTTTTTATAAATCTTTTCTTTTTACGAGCTCTGAATTAATAAAAAAAAAAAAAAAAGTGGATATTAATATCAACATCATTCTGAACAGTAGTTTAATGTTTAGTATTTTATTTGAAATAGTATACATCATTTTCTAGATAAATCATACTGTTCATCCAATTTTATATTATTCGTCTAACTATAATGCGACCTTGGTCACGGCCTCTAAAATGAAGTCATCCATGCATATCTCAGAAAATGCTATTGATTAACGCTTGCTAATTATTCGTTCGAGATGTAAAATCATTTTAACACCATCAAAAAGTATCCGCCCATTATTTCTTGTTCGATTTATAATAAAAAAAAAAAAAAGAAGAAGAAGCAAAACTGGAACAGAAAGAAATGTTAAATTTGAACACGCGCGTCAAAATTGAACAATGATCCAATTGTATTTTCGACAACAATGTGTTATTATTTGCTTTTTAACGAAATATGTAAAAGGAGACCGATAAAAAGCGATAAGAAAATATTTCTGGACTTGGAAACATTAATATTATCAAAGTAGCATAGACGCGTCATTTTTTTAAATTAATTTCAGTTATGAATATTTTATTTTTATGTCATAAATATTTTGTGAAGTCCTCTTGCAGTCTTTTTCATATTAAAGCATTAATGAAACTGCTTTCTAGTATTTGTAATTAATTTGAAAAATGCAGAATTATCTTTAAGTACAATTCGTACTCAAACTTCAATGTGTTATCACAATGTGTTTGTATATACAAACAGTGAAATTGCTGCCTGAAGCAGTTTTCGATGCTTCGAAGTATTGATAGTCTCTTTATGATACAGTAACATTCCACAGCTCTCTTCCTTTAAGATATTTTCTATCAGTGATAACATCTTCGCAATTACTAGCTCACTAGAAATAATTTTTTATTTAAAATATTCGAACTAATTGTCAGTGTATTAACAGAAGATGGTGCAGAAAATAATTTCGTTAGTTTATAATATTTTCCTTTGAAAATATGAGGAAAAATTAAGAAAATAGAAACTTTTCATTCTACACGCCCAAGTATTGACTAAAAATTTGTACTAAAAATACTATTTGTACTAAAAATATAGGAATGCTAATTGAAGTTCTTGCACCAAGGGGAAGTCATAATGAAAGAGACAAAAATGTGAATTTATTTACACTATTGCTTGACGAATTTTCATACATTTATGTGAAATACTAAGGTGCAAAAATATACACAACACACATAATGTACATACATATAAAAATAGTCAAATATCCAAAGCAGAATATTTATTACAATGTATAGACAAATCTATCGTTATATTCTTACTAAAGTTATAAGTTTATATTCTAACTAAAGTTATAAGTTTACTTTAGTTATATAAAACTTACTAAAGTAAAGTAAAGTTTAGTTTAGTTATAGTTTACTATAACTAAGTTTACTATATAGTTTACTTTAGTTATATATAAATTTTTAAATATACTTTAGTATTTAGTTATACAAAATTATATTATATAAAATTACTTTTTCAAAATTTTACTTACATAGTTTACTTACATAAAAATCTTTAAATTGGCAGCCTAATTATCACCATTTGTGTATCAACGTTTCGTAGTGGATAGTTCACCTCGTAGCAAAACAATCGACTTCCTTTTGGCCCTTCCTGTTATTCCAAAAAATTCCGGGATGAAATTCGAGGTGTTCAACTCGAGACATTCCACAGCTTCTAGGACCTTTGCCCATTGTTTATAAATAATTGTCGCCGCAGTCGATAAAACGTAACCGCATACATTTGCATTAAAACGAATCCCCCCAGTGACTGACTCATTCATTACAGTCGCACGAATCTAATCGATCTGTCAGTCGAGCGAGGTTGTTCGCTCTGAAAGGGTTGCTGTCTCCTCTCTGTTTCGATCGAATCGATTTGTCGATAAAACAAGAGGAACCAAATTCGAAGATAAAAAGTATAACAGTGAAATTTCCTTGAAGAAAGTTTGTCTAATTGATGATCTCTCTTCAGGCGAAGAGAAGTGTGAAAATATAAATATTTTCATTGAAACATAGACTTGCAGCCTATGTTTCTGAGAGACTTGTTGCATTTCTAATTGGGTTTCTCTTTCATTTAAACGGCATAATGTGGTGGCAGTAGGTGACTGATTTATTGGAGAATTAAAAAAGTGCAATAGTGTAAGAGTGTGAACATTTTTGAAGAATATGTAAAATAGAATGGATAGAAAGTAGATCATCACATCTTGATATTTTTTACACGATTCAAATTTTAATCAATAAAATTTAGGAGAAAAGAACAGAATTAATAAAATTTTTTAAGAATTGTTCCTTACGTTCTTAGAAAGTGAAATCTAGCTAAAAAGAAGACAACTTTGTGATGTGTATCGTCAACATGACAGTCACACACAACAATGGTGAGATTCACAGTTTCAAGACGAATATTATACAGAATTTTTATAGCAGGTGTTATACCTGTTACATCGATAAATGGGCATCATTGATTGTTTCTAAGCAACGCTTTCGTGTATTAAGAATTAAAATTGCGATCGATAGATAAAAAGTTAATACCATAAACTTGTGTCTTTATCATGGTGAAAAGTTAGTTAACAATATTTATGATTTAATTTTATATAATATTACTGTACGAATTAGTGTCAAAAAATATTATCGCTGTTGTTGATAATTGCTATAATATTTTTTTGGTATAGAAAAAACTTGTATTTATATTTCCATAAAAGAACGAGATATTTTTCGAGCTTAAAAACTAAAACTATTCCGGCTAAGAAATCAATTGCGTACAGTGTGTCAAGAATAATGTAATATTCATAAAAGAAAACGTTTCGTCGACCTTCGTCTGAATAGGTTAATAAATTCTAGTTTCAAACTTGATACATTTTTCGCTTTACTCAAAATGTACGAAATTTTACATATTTTCTTCCTTACTTTTTTTCAAATATATGACAATGACAGAAGCGACAAATTGTTCATTATTGAAACTTTGATTCTTTTACACGAATTGTGGAATCTTATTACTTTGATAAGAAAAGAAAAAAGAAAGAAAGAAAATCAGCAGCGAATGAAACGTAAAGTGCTATCTACCGTGAACGCTGCCAAACCTTTGTATAGTTTAGATATTTTCGTGTATTTTTTAGTGTTTACACAGCAGAATCATCAGCTCGATAAAAGCTCGATAAAGATAAAAATCGAACTCATTGATCCTCTGCTCTAATTCGCCAAATGAACACTCGTACTTATGTACACATAAGTACGAGTGATTCATTGAAGATGCAGCAAGAACAAATACAGTTATTACCTGTTTCCGGTATTTCGCCACATCATAAGTTTGTTAACTTTTCCAGTCTGAGTTGTATAAAACTGAAGGAAGAAAAATCTGTAATGAAACAATGCACTTATTACTTCGCAATTTCAGCGTATAATATATAGTTATATACAACCGTATACACTTATAATTTTTATAAACAACAGAGAATAAAAGAGCAGATATAATATAACAATGTCGTAATTCCTTTGTTTTAAGGAATCCTTCAATTTTAAGTCACACGTTCAATATTTTAAAGTTTCCGTATGAAGATTTAATTTCAAACAGAAAATGTTTGAACTACAAATAATTCTTCTGATAATATACAATAATTTATATGTAACATACAAAATTGTATATTATATATAACTTTTAAAATGTGTAACGAATTGAAAGACACTTACGAATAAATGGAAATATGCGTATAATACGTATAACATTATTTAAATTTGATGTTGCAATGTTATAGTTTTTCATATAAAAAAAAAAAAAAAAAAAAACGATGTAAAAGAAAATAATATAACGGAGTCATAGTTCCTTTGTGTTAAAAGGCCAATTGTACTTTACTGCCGATATAATCTCTGCAACGTAATTGCCCGCCGTACTTTCAAATATTTCAAAACAAGGAAATTAGAAATTTTAATTCAGGTTTTGCAACCGTGACCCCTACAAGTATCGAGTTTCTTGTATGTTTTGTTACAGGCGACAGCTCACGATGCGCTCGCACCGAGCCTGAAAGGGCACGACAAAAGGTTCGGGAGGGTGTACGGAATCGAATTTACTCCAGGACCATAATCCTGCCGGTAATGGCGCAGAACTCGTCGAGAAAGTACGCGATCCTTCAAAACTCGGAAGATATGTCTCGAGTTCCTTTTATGATCAAGCAGAACACGACGAAATCCTCCATTTATAACATGGTGATTCTCGAGGTAAAGAAAAGAAAGAAATATTGCAAAGGAAAGAAAAGAAATCGGAAATACTTGCATTTTTATTTTACGATTACTTGTATTCTGTAAGAGATCAATATTTTATAGTTACTGCATATTTTTTACTTTGTTTCTGTTTACTTTAATCAATGTTTTGTCGGTGATTTACATTTTTTATTTTTGTATCTCTTATTTTCTTATATATATGTGTGTGTGTGTGTGTGTGTTTCTTAGATTTAAATATAAAATTAATATATAGTATATTTATATATTAATTTAATCATATTATTTATATTAATATATATATTATAATATAATATATTTCCAGTTTAGGTTTAAATATAAAATTTTATATTGAATACAGATAGAAAGATAAATATTTCGCTTGAATGCTGCATATATGTACGTATGTAATATGCGTTGACATTTGTTAATTAAAGAAGTAAATACTGAGAAAGTTCCCTAAATAATTATCTCTTTAAATTATTGCTGAACTTCGTAATTTGTCTAAGAGTCCACCTTTTTAATCTCTTTACGAATAATTATGTATATAAGTAATATTTAACATTGAGCTTTCGTGTAATTTCATATTTTTGTGAAAGTAAAGTTTTGAAATCATAAATACGTACAAATTCATACATACAGTTTAGTCAGTATATTTAGGAAACTCAGCGTATATGCAAGTATCAAGTGAGAAAATGGTTTTCTTAATCTCTGTATTATGTGTACTGTGCACAGGCTGGTTTACCTGGAGACACGTGGAGGTACTGCGTAGAAAGGGAACAACTGGCTGAAAGGTCGGAATGGTTTCGTGCGATGCTCGTCGGTCCTTTAGCACCTGCGCCAAGCAATCCTCCACCCGTGCTGAAACTGCAACACATAGAGAAAAGAGCTTTCGATTATTTGCTCAGGTAAATACAGAATCCATAATATATCAATATTGAAAAATCAGACGAAGATACAATCTGTTCAGCTACAATGCTGTACAATTCTCGATCGATCACATCTTTCATCAAGTAATTTCGATATCCCTGAGGATCAAGCGTTGTTAAAAAAAAAAAAGTCACAGTGCCATTATGGCAACATCTCTGTACACACTGACGATAATTGGTACCATCGCTTATTTCTGGATTCTTATTTTAATTACGCTTCCGTTGATGATCTGTTGCAAACAAAGAATGACGAGACCTCGATGTCCGAGGAAAAAATGTTGTGGATGTAAATTTCCGAAGAAATGAAGCTTGTTAAATCCAAATCAGATGAAATAACAATTTTCTAAACAAGAACAAGAGCAAGGAATCTCTCATCTAACAATAGCACCAAAAAGATAGAAATTAGGAAAACTTAAAGAAATTTAATGTCCTGCAATTTGTTTTTCAATAGAAGAAGAGAGGGAAATGATACATAGTTGAACGAGCGCAGCTAAAAAGTATGGTTAATAATTCAGGCAACTGTTTCCTTCCTTTTTTTTTTTTTTTTTTTTTTTTTTACATCGATTTGAAGTTTGTTTGACCATTTTTGTGCAGATACGTTCTCGAAGAGCGGATCAATTTTCAATCTGTGACCACAGCTCGTGCAACACTTGACGCGGCTCATCAGTATCTCTGTCCAGAATTGGCAAGGTACGCCGTTGAATACCTCGAAAGCAATTTAAATTCGAACACCGTGCTTGAAATCTACCAGGGCCTCAATCTTTACGCAGACTGTGTAACATATACTTTCAACTCACCCACGGCTCCTCCGGCTCCTGGTGACGATGCTGGTGAAATAGGTATTGTCATTTTCAGAATTCAGAAATTCGTCGTTAATTTTATTAATTGAACATCGTTCTAATGTTAAAATCTTTCAAAAGAGTGATTTTTAAAAGATAGCTTCTCGAGTGAATCCTTCAAAATCCTACGAAATATACTCGCTGAAAGTCATTGCCATTAGTCGAAGAGTAAGATATCACACCCACCAAAATAGCCTTATAGCACTCCTTAATCAACTTGTTGCCAAAAAATTCCACGAAACACTTTATTAATTACTAGATTCCCAACAAGTTCTCCAACAAAATTTTGCAATATATCGGCCTATATTGCAAATATCCAATTTAATCCAATATTTATTAAACACCAAATTTCTGCTCCCTCCAGGATTAGAACGTTTGATTAAAGTTCGTTGAAATCTTAGCCGCAGCCTGCACGCGACTTCTCCTGAGTTGTCTGGACGTGATCGACTCGGAACCGGAGGCGGTTTTCAGCCAGGAATTCTTTGAGGAGTTAAGCTGCGCCGAGGTGGAAGAACTGGCGTGTCGTGACACTCTGAGATTGAACAACGAGTCGATATTGTTCCACGCGTTGAACAGGTGGGCCGCGTCCAAATGCAGAAGACACGGACTCGAGCCATCAGCCAGCAACAAGAGATCCGCACTTTCGGACGATGTCTGGTATAGTGTTCGATATTCCCTTATGTCTGATAAAGAGTTCATCGAGGGCCCTATGGCGAGTGGAATCCTATCTAGCGAGGAGTCGGCTTACATCGTTGCTAGAATTCTGGGCCATCAGAAAGGAAAGGAGGTATGGTAACTCTTTTTCATTTAATTAGAGGGTGTCTCGAGCTATGCCATAATATAAGTGCAATGTAGCAATGTGCAATGAAAATTAGTGTTGCAGTAGAAGCTTTTGCAATTAAGATCACTGCGTTTTTAAATATTGGAAACTGTAGTTTCCATTTGTCTTGAATTTACTGAAAGATAATAATTAGAACAGTGAGAGGATACCAGAGTCAATGAAGAACATTTTTGGCATAGCCCTCCCTTTCAATTGTAAATTTTGATGAACATTTTTATATAACTTTGTGCAGATCAATGTTTTATATAATATAACTGTATTCAACAAAGAATAATTAATATTTCTTGCACTTACAGTTGTATATACTTGCTTCTTCTTATGCTCAATTTACTGTCGATTTCCCTCAATTGGATAAGAACTGTATTGCTCGAAGTGAAAGTAAAGTGTCTTCGTCTTCTTTATCAGGTGTTAGTACTTATCTTATTGCTGAAAACGATATCTATAATCGCTATCAGACAGTACACCTTTATCTGTCCATGGTTTACTGATTCAACAGCGCGACCAAATCCCATCTATACCAGATTCATCTATACAATCGTCCATTTTAGTTTTCGGTTATCTTTTGTATGGTGTACTGTCCCAAATGTGATTTTACTTTAATACTTTCTCATCTTTTCGTGTAATGTTCAATGTTGAAGAAGATGAAATAACAATTTTCGTATTTTGCCAAGTTGAATAAAAACAAATGGTTTGGTTTATTTTTGTGACACGTTAACGCGTTTATACATAAAGTGCGACATGACAATTAAAAAATATAGAGTAAGCAATAAACTTGAAGATACGAAATTTAATGGGAGATATAACAGGCGTAGAAGAACGGTAAAGAGATTTATATTTTACAAATTTTGCACAATGATTTCAAAACGCACAATTAATATTCTTGAAACCTAAATATGAGTTTCAGAAATTATTTTTGATCAATTATTATCAGATGAAATAACAAACGTATCTAGTATGAAAATTCAAATTCATTTTCAAGTGTATGTACATACAGTAGTTTATTATCAATGAAAAATCGATTAATTTTTTGTTAAAATTTCTATATCTTGAATCTGTCTGGAACTAAAGTTCAATTAAAAATCGAAAGATGATTGTATTCTCTATCCATAGGATTGTAGTTCGGTGAATGGACCATTTCCTAGACTAACCAATAATCCAAGGATCGATGTGAGAATGTACGAGGAGCAAAATTGCAAAATGTCGAAATCGGAAAAGAAAGAGTGCCAGGACAATCGGAAGAATAGTAGAAAAGAATGTGTAAATCAGGGACAGAGGACTTGCGCGAGAATCGGTAACTATCTCGTGCGAGTTCTCGCCTGTATTTTCGACTGAACTGAAATCCCATTCAGTATGGAACCAGGACGAAGAGGAGCTGAGGAAATCGGCAGATTCTTAAATTTCCCACCGAGAACTAGTTTCTTTCCTATCGTTTCCCGAGTCTTTGTATAACATCATTGCGTGAAATTTCTCGCGTCTCGATTTTTGTATTAATTTAGGCACTAAGGATGAAAGCGTTTTGCATTGAGCCGACATTAACACTCGCCTGTTACACTGCTGAAAAATATCAAAGTTTGCCCTGATTAGATCTCTTTTCGTTTTCGTGATGCATTTTCCTTTTTTATTTTATTTCACAAATAACGGGTACTGTACGATGGCAAGAATGCTGAAAGAGGCTGAAGTTTAATTATACAATGTTTGTTAATATCCTTTTTTTTTTTTTGCTAGTTTGTAGAAACTTTTAAATATGACGTTCCTCTCTGCGAAGAGATACTTTCCTAGAATATAGAAAAATGGATTTTAAACGATTCAGATATTTTTCGATTTTAATTAATCATTTTGAGATGTTTTCACATTTTTACAGAGATATTTACTTGTTATACATTGCCAGTTTTTTAATCATGAAAAAATATTATGATGAGATTTGTTCGTCGTTTGAATATTTTTATTATTTATTGCCTGATTTTTTAAACCATTACGTTATCATCTTTCTTTTTTAACAAGTATTTGCAAATCTTTTAGCAAATTTTTAAAGATAATCGACATGAAGTCAGAAAAGAAACTTAACTTGGAACTTCTAAAAAATGGTTTTGGCAAGTAGCATTCGAATGAAGTCGATCAGTTTCAAGAAAATTCGAAGAATGACTTTTCGTATTGTATATAAGTATTGTACCTTGAAATGCGTATCATTTACAGGGACTGAACGATATGATAACGTCAAAAAAATGACATCTTTTAGACTTTGTTGTTTTTAATGCAAAATTCTATACATTCTTTACGAATAAGTTATCCAAAAACATTTGAAAAGTATTTGTAATTCTATTACAACGAAGACTAAAAATTCCATATAGATTGGACTATTATGTTTGCCATTATTTTTTATTCAGTTGTGTAGTAATTCGCAAAAATAGCAGTCAGCCTGTTTGGAATTTTTAGTTTTTTATCGTCACTATTACCTGTACTCTGTTATATGTTCATTGTGTTCATAATTGCTGTTCAGAATATATAGCTTATAATTATGAGTTAGAGAGTGAAATCATGGCTGGTCCGTGTGAATGTGTGACGTCCAATAACGCAAACTTCGTTTTCTTTTTATACCAAATTTTCGAATTGTCATGAACGATAACACTGCGATGCATTTTTTTCACGATCGTCGTTACTTTCGAGATTTCATACATTTCTCAAACCTCGAACGTCCATGTGAATCGTTACGCGATTTAAAATCGACAGCTTCGAATTATTCATTTATCAACGAATAAATTTTGAGCTTAATTAAAGAACGAATCTGGTTTAAATGTAGACACTCGGTTAACTTTTTTTCCTCTGCAAAATATCGATTCCTTTTATTCTGAACTCTAATAATAGAGATTAATTACGAAAATGAAGTTTCAAATCAGTCTTATAAATCAATATTCTAATTGATATAATTACACCGAGTGTCCATATTTAAACTGTATATAGTATACAATTGTTAACATCGAATTTTATATAATGAACACAATAACGTGTCGTTGTATCTGACACCAGAAATTGTAGTGACATAATTTGAAACGACAGTCATCGTTTTCATATTAATTGTCACATTCGTTTAGTACGTTTTGCGAGCTAATGTCATAAATACGGCCACGTAGGCGTGTTCTATCGTTACCAATTATATGTTAGTCATTAAATCTCGTGTTGCTATTTGATCGGTTAAATTTTATTCGCCATGACTCGTTATGCTCAGATTACGTTAAGATCGAATGTTACTCTAACAAGTTATTGAGTCTATTGTGTGTTGATGATTATTTAGAAATCGATTGAATATTGCAACTTGATTATTTGTTTGAATTGATTGCATCAAATCGGTTGTTGAAACAGGTAAATTCATTTCGAGCCATTGTTTGTAGCTGCTTCTTTGATTGTACGTATGGTGTAAAAATCAGTTCGTTTTGTACATTTTTCACGTGAATCATTATGTATCTGCGAACCAAAAACGTATTGGAAATTGAAAATAAAGCTTGCAAGTGTAATGATGAACTGTAATGAAAATAAAAATTACATAAAAATCATGCAATTTATTAGTTAAATTGTTCAAGAATATGAAACGTAATAAATTTTTCATTTTTTTTTTAATGTTTTCTATTTTTTTAAAGCCAAAAGTGCCATATACTAGTCTTTAAAAATAATTTCATTTCAAGCCACATGTAGAATACACACAAATAAAATTTATTGCAAAACTAATTTTATAAACACTTTACTATTAAATAATTATGTCATGTTTTTTATTTTATTTGTATTATGTCTTACATTTTTGAAATGAGTATAAATTGTACTGTTCATTATTTTAAAAGTCAAATACGATATATTTGTAGCGACATATATTGAGTATGCGATCTTAACCTCGATAGCTACTTTCGAGATAAAATGGCGACGTACATACGACGCAGTTTAACGTCAATATTTTTACGTTCTTTAAATGTTTAAGTATTAATAAATTAATAAAGTGACAATAGGTAACTTCAAAAATTTATTAAAATCCCAGATACCTTGAACGTTATTTAAATAAATAACTACTGAGCATTTTAACCTATTTTAATGCATGGTATATTATAGGTTATATTTTTGTCTGTATTACCCATACTTTGACGTTTTCATAAAACATAAACAAATATAAAGAAACGTTAAAATGCATACAACAACAGATTTTGTTTTACATGGTGGTAATGCAGAATTTGCAAACAGACAGAAATTGTTGTTTGACAAACTGTCAGATGCAGAGCAAGAATGTAATAAGAATAAAATGGTTGTTGAATCTACAGAATCTGCAATAGATGTTGACAGTGACTCAAACTATTCTCAAATCTTAAGAGCTGGCCGTAAAAGTCAAACGAGAAGATTTCGTGGTAAGGAGAGTATTTTCAAACGGCCAGAAGGTCCAGCACCACGGGCTTTGAGCAGAAATATACCAGATTTTCATAAGAATCCTCATAAATGGAAAAAATATAGTTTAGATGATGTATCCAATGATGATATGACAGAAGAAAGTAATACAAGGGCTGCATTATCATTTCTGAAGGAATTGAAAGCAAGAAAATCAGTGGAAAAAATACAAGAATCAGAGAAAATGGATGTAGACGAGTCTGGTTCTGGAAGAAGGAGTCAAGCAAAAATAACGTTCAAATCTAAGAAACAGAAAACATCTGCTGAAGATGTTGAATTTAAGAAACCAGAAAACAATGCAGACAAAACAGGCAATACGCCAGTTATTATTGAAACTGATGACAAGCCAGTCTTTAGAAGTAGCAAAATTATCATGCCAGAATATGTTGTTGGCCAAAAGAAGAAGAAAAAGGTTAAGAGAGACATTCATCCTATGAAAGTAGACAGAGCTAAACAACTTAAACTGGATCACTTGGAAGAACCTGATGAAGAGGAAAATTGAAAATTGAGAATTTATTACTATTGTAAATGTAACTGCTTTCCAAGTTTTCTCTATAATATGAATATTTGATTTTCACCGATGTATGTATTTTGAATATAGCGGCAATAAATACACTGTACGTATTTCTTCATACGTATTTCTTTAGGTATGAAACATCTCGAGTTTTTATAAGCTTTGTACTTTTCCCGTGTCACAATAATCGGAATCGATTTTGAAAAAATTGAAACAATGCCGCTCTGGCGGGCTCTTCCGGGAATGATCCGCGACTGCGCATAATACACCGCGTGTTATGACTATTTCCTGTCGACTTAGTCGCAAGCTATTTAAAAGTCGCAAGTCAGAGTTTGTTTTTGATTTTTCACGCGTACGATGCCGATCAGTGCAAAAAATACAAGCTATTGAACTTCGGTAAGTTACGTAATACATCTTTGAAAGATTACGCGCGAGATAGAATATCTACGAGTAATTTGTTTATACAATTGGAGGGGGGGGGGGGCGAAGAAACCTCATAACCTGTACGCATACTACATCGTCACCGATTCAAAATGGCGTGTTGAACCAGTGAACGAAAAAACGTAGATAAAATTTGTGTTTCGTGGTGCTAAATTCGTCGTTCGTGTTTCTATATGTGGTGAATTTGATATTCTTCGCTAACGGGGCAAGAATTATAAAAAGATTATGACACAGTTCCCGTGTGTGACAGTCTAGGAAGTCTGTTAGTATATTCGTAATTGAGGTACGGAATTAATAATGCAGGAAATCGTCCTAGCAGCCTTCTCCGTGTTATCGAGTCTTCTCATAGTATTTGGCCTGGTGCTGCTGGGTAAGAACGACAAATAGTAACGTTCCGTTATTGCTGCGCGGTATGCAGATCATTTCGAAACATTGTTATCTGGCCTGTCGTATAGTACCAATGTTGAAGGTATAGTAGGAGAGTCTGACTACATATTTAACCTTTTTCGTCACGTGTATGCGCAATCGCGACGGCTATTCTAGGTTTCGTACTGTTAAGATCTATTTTGTTTTGTATCTTTCTCCTATAATCAACTGTGTACTATCAACAAGCTATACTTGCATTACATATTATTTATTTTGTCAATTATATGCTCATCACGCTACTTGTGTATTTTATTTCGATATCGCGCTGAGAAATAATAATTTAAAGAAATATGTATACATTGAAAATATATATAGTTTATGTGTTTGATAGAAATTTTAATATAGTGTTTGATTTGAATGGGATCTTTTTTCCTTATAGGCATGTTTTGTCTTTTTTTTTAGGTTGGTATTTAGTTTGGAAGTTTTTCCTTTCAAGGTTCAGGTTTGTTCGAGAACTGTTGGGTGGAATGAGTGAATCTTCGCCTGTAAATGATTTAAAGAATGGTAGATCTCGTATGAAAAGAATTCGCAAAGAAGACTAAGGAGACACGTTTGTACAGTTAACGAACAACACATCAGAAGAAGAAAATTGAACAAAACGAAATTTTCTTTTATTCGTATAACTGTAATATTTCAATTCGTCGAAATGTCTATAAACATACGCTGTGCTACTACGGATGATTTATTGAATATACAGCATTGCAATCTGCAATGTTTACCAGAGAATTATCAAATGAAATATTATTTGTACCATGCTCTTTCTTGGCCACAATTGAGTTATGTGGCAGAAGATGAAAAGGGCAGGATAGTGGGTTATGTCCTTGCCAAAATGGAAGAAGATTGTGAAGATAATCCACATGGGCATATTACCAGTTTGGCAGTAAAAAGATCACACAGAAGACTTGGTATTGCACAGAAGCTTATGAACCAAGCTTCCAGAGCAATGGTTGAATGTTTTGGTGCAAAATATGTTTCTCTGCATGTTCGTAGAAGTAACCGAGCAGCTTTGAATTTATATACAAGCAGTTTGCAATTTGAAGTATCAGAAGTCGAGCCAAAATATTATGCAGATGGAGAAGATGCTTATGCTATGAAACGAGACCTTAGCAGCTTTTATTTGGAAAAAAATGCAACAAAAGAGAAAACAAACAAAGATGGTAATACGCACATACATACTGGCAGATGCTGTGATCGTTCATAGTCAGTTGGGGATGTTTACTTATAATTAGCAATTCATTTCGTGCGTCATTAATTCCATACTGTTTGGATTTGAATCACTATTATACATATGAATATGTATTTTTCATAAATAAATTTTAATGAAAAGTGCATAAAATAATTATGAGTCAAACATCATGGCTTGAATGTATATATATATTAAAATTTTGCAAATAGGATATTTGTGTTCATTCAAGCCTTACCTGAGACATATGAAGCGTTTTATATACCACTACAAAAGGGGTGTACTTGTTAATAATTATACAGCGAGTAGGAGAGAGACTTCTAAACTACTGTATGTACTTCAATGCAAATTGAGTTGAAAAGTTTCTACCAAATGTATCATTGCGTGTAGCTAATTGATATACTGTGTTATTCAAGTCCTATGAATCTTAATACAATAAAGACGATAAGCAGAGGGCGAGGAAAGTTTTGTCACTTTTTACCTGTGTATTCAATTCATCTTTATTGAACCATTGAAACTATAATATACAAGTAACGCGCCAGTATACAAAATTATCACCCAGATTTCACCAAGCAAATCAAGTGCAAGATGATACCAACTTTTTAAAGGAAAACAGTTTCTCAACGCTTACTCGTGGTTCGATCTTTACATCTGCGTTACGTGAATTATTTTAATTGTCCATTCTGTTTCTAAATACTTTATGCACTTTCACGAGTACGATCCGATGCTTAAAAATTAAACTTTGACCATTGCACAATTTTTAAATATTTCGTTCTTTGCTTTGTCACTGCTGCGTTGGTACATTATTGTGTATACATTGTAATAGGAATAATTATAATATACATATATATGTATATATATATAAATATACTTATGTACACGTTAAATGTTCTTAAAATTAACACAATTGATTCAGATTCAGTCAAAGGACATGCTAGTCTGAAAGTCATACATCAATTAATCTTTCAGTTTCGTAATCGATCGATGCACGTTTTAAATTTAACACAACGATAATCAATGAATCATCGATATTCCAAATCTAATCGGAAGTATTTGCTGACAAGAAACTCCACCGATAAATTCTTTCATAGTCTTTTGAACATTTTCCAATTGTGAAATTATTTCGAAGTAAAACAATCCCAGGTACGATGTACGAAATGACGTTACACGATAGAAAGGCAATTGTATAATGATTTATACGTTCCACAGTTTTCTTTTCAATTAGCTATATCGAGAAGAGAACGAAAATTCATCTCGCTTAATAGCACGTCACGATCAATCGGAATACGATTTTCAACGAGAATGTGACAAGCACCTATTGATATATCGCCTATGTATAAATTCTAAATATACAGTAAACTCTAACTGCCTGAAAAAATGCATTTTATCTTACAAAAGCGCTCCGCCAATAAATTATAATACAAGTCTCGTAAACGAGGTTCATGTTCGCGCGATATGCTCCGATTATATAATCTCTAAAAAATAAAGTACAAGCTATATCGTGGTAAACACTCCTTTTTTTTTTTTTTTAAGTGCCGGATGATCGTCTTTCTTTCTAGTTTTCTTTTTCTCCCCCTTTTTTCGACATTTCCACGATTTTCATTTTCCTCCGTACGAAAGACGAAAAAAAAAAAAAAAATATTTCGAACGATTTTGAAGCTGCGTCAGAAATGCGCGGTGGTCGATCACCTCTCGTAACACCTACGAACATGATTTCTTCGCTATTAATCGGAGAAAATCATTTTCGGAAATAAATTACATCTCGAAAGAAATTCAGCGAAATCAGACAGAGTTTGCTCGTACTTTTCATAAACATTTGTCCCTTTAACGAAAAAGAAACAGCCCTGCCGATTATAAAAGTTTTCGAAGCTCCTACGTCAGGATGATCTAACGCTCTAACGTCTACGAAAAAGGGAACGATTCGGTCGCTGTGAAAGTTTTATAATCGGCAGGAGCGTCGGCCGACGACAATCGATAAAAATGACCGTGTATAAGGCGTATCGTTTCGTATTGTTTCCAAGTTATTGTTATCGTGTGTCGCTCCTGTAAAGGGAGTGCCGCCTTGCAGTCGAATTAGATTATTGGAATGATTGTAAAACAGTCTACAAATCCGATGGCGTTTTTCTCTTTTTTGGCAGTCACCAGTGTGCGTTTTACGATCGAGATTAGTGTTGCTGGAAGAGCCTGTAAAAAGGGCCTGGCACGAAAAAGTCGTGACACGGCGATAAAGTTGTATAAAATTCGTTTAAAATTGGCCTCTAAAAAGACATCTTCGTTTCTTGTGCTCTTTGAATTTCCTAGACAGGTCGCTGTTACAAAGTATTTTTCGATTACAAAAAATTCCTTTCTTGCGCTGGCGGCAGTGAATACATTAGGCTATTGCGTCTCTTTCATTCTCGTCAATTTCTACGTTTTAGCTTCCTTTCACTTTGATTCAACGAATGTGAAATTCGTCGCAGTTTACAATTGCATTGTAAATATGCATCCAAACGAAAAAATGTTTTAACGAGCTTCTTTCATCACACGATATAACACATCTAGGGCGATGATTAACACTCTGCGTCATCGAACTTCGAAATGATCCTCGTTTCCAAGCAAACCCAATACACCGACGTCACGAGAATGATTTCGAACACACGTTCTACACGTACTATCGGTCCTTTACGTCGCATAATTGATTCCACACCTCTAGCTAAATGAACGACACGGTTACATGGTTTCCTAGAAAAGTCTACGTTCTCTATATTCTTTTTCTCCAGATACATTACAAACACACGCTCGCCTCGAAGGAGCATTCTTTTTTTTCCCCTTACGTTTCTACATTACCTGTGGGCTTTGGCAGTTGCGTATCTCTAAGTAACGATAGGCCTCGAGGATTCTTTATTGCGATCGAAGGGGGAAGGCTGTCGTTTCTAGTCGAGCGAAAAAAAAAAAAAAAAAAAGAAGCAAGTTGGCGTTTCCTCCCTTCCTTCGGTCCGAGTTCATCTTCTCGTCGATCAAACGATCAGAAATTCGCGTTTCTACCATCTACTCGGCCATCGTCCGAGTCAAAAGATTTTTGTTTTATTTGTGAATTATTATGTAATTCTTGTCTCGTTGTTTGATTAATTTATTTCGAAACTCTCTTCGTCGTCAGACGAAAGTCCCTACTTTTGACTGGATGATCAGGCATCGCGATATTCTAACCAAATCGGCAGTGAATAACACCTACGACACACATTCTTAATTTCGCTCTTGCTGTCGCGAGCCACGTTTCCAGCGGATAGAAACTGTTTGATCGTCAGGATCGTCAGGCTCAATCCAAGGAACTTGATGGGGCTGTCGCGAGTCGAACGCAACGTGGCTTCTTCCTCGATAGAATAACAGTAAATGTTTCTCAGAACTGCAAGCTTTCTCATCTTTCTTTGTTCTCTTTACTCTCTTCACCCGTGTCGGGGATTAGGGTCTGATCGTTGGACGCTCAAGGCTGTTGCGCAGCGTGAATCATGGCCACCTTCAAGTCCTTGGCCAAGTGAGAGACGTCCACCACGCTGTCGACCATTTCTTGAACGGCGGATACACTCGGGAAGAATTGGGCCGCCTGTTTCGTCTTCGACACGGTCTGGCCCAGCGCCTCGCTCAACGCGTTCGCGCACTGTAATACGCGCGTCCTCACATCGTTCCTCGTCACGTTCCTGTGCACCGTGTCACCGATGTGCACCAGCCTATGAGCGCTCAGCACCACGAACTTTCCATGCGCTAGGAATACCTGTTTTCAAAAAATAGAGCAGAGCATTATACAAAGTGCAGAGCAATGTGAAACGTTGCTTTGATTGTTTACTCTTTCTTTCTTTCTCTATGTTAATAAAATGTCCATCCTCTTTCAAATATTCAAATTGTGACAGAGTTGTTGTTATTATAACAAATTAATAATAAAGAAATTGCTAGGAATTAAAATTCCCAACTTATCTTATAATAAATGATTTACTGCTATGCACGAGTTATCTAATATCGAAAGTGACTTTTGTCTATAATTCATACTGGAAGTATTTGCAAATGTAAAACCTCTGTCCAATGTAGATACAAAGATACTAAAATTCCTTGTGATACACCTTGTGAAAATCTTGTCTTCTCGTGGCGTGTGATTTATCCAAACGATTATGGAGCATTTAGATTTTATTTTATCGTTAGTACAGAGAGTACTCGCCTTTGGTGGTTGGTTATGCTCGACCGTTTGCATGAAGGCGTCAATGGCGTGAGTCAGATGATTACCGTGCGTGATCACCTGGGCGGCATAGAAAGCCAGCAATTGTTTGTCGTTCGGATCCATGGGTGTCGGTGTACTGGGTGGCATTTGAATCGTGGCATTGTCCGACTCGGATATCAGGAGATCGTAATTACTACGAAGTTCCTGCGGCAGCGATGCCCTCACTTCCTCCCGTTGCTTCGCGACCACCTCCCTCGAGTCGAGATTCACGTAATCGTAATCCTCGCCGGCACCGCTGTTGTTGCTGCTACCGGTCGAAATGATCGACGACCGTTTGAACAGCAGGGTCGAGTTCCCCTGTTTCAGGCAAATTTTAAACGAGCTCGATTATTTTGGAAGGTTCGATCATCTCGGGGAGGGGCAGGATATCTACGACATTGTAAGGATTACTGGTAATTTTTATAAAATGTAAATCGAATCTGTCTCACGACGAGTCTTTCTAGTAGTTGAACTGGTAAATTTATGTAGATAACAGCGTGACAAATATGATATTAAAATTAAAATAGCAAGCTGGCTCAGAATCGGAATACCTTTTCACAATTTGAGAAAATGGAATTAATTTTTACAATAATAAGTTACTGTAACAACAAATCACATTTGATGGGAACTAACAGTGGATTGTATGTATATCATTATGATTCTCGGTCTACCGATATTTTTCTTGTGACGATGCACATTTGTGAAAAGACAAGAGCCTCGAATTTACTTTAAGCATCTCAGTGTGACATGCTGCCAAATATTCCCAATAAAACAAAATGAATATCATCGACGAAAAAAATTTCACAGCTACCTAAAACAATATTGTGAAATAAAAAGTACATTACTCGACATTATATAACAAAACATTATATATTGTATTACAAAAATTAAGTAACTCTCTTGCTAGATTATGCAGATCTAGCGATCAACGTGTTAAAAAAATTAATTCCTTCGTGCTTCTCGCCACTCTTCTCAATTCTATCAATCGAAGAAAGCGCAATTCCGCCTTCAACATCCTTCGATCGATGCTCACCTGAATGAAACTGGCCACCTGACGAACGTCTTCCGTCAGTGCCTGAGCGCACGCGATCAGCTGATCGAGCGGATCCGGTTGCACCGGTGGCAACAGAGACGAAGGTGGCCCGTTAGTAGGTGTCGGGGTATCGCCACCCCCGCGACACAATTTGCCCGCGTCCCATTCCATCGCGTCCAGCTCGGTGGCCGCTTCCTGCACGAGTTTGTCGGAATCGCGGAGAGCCTTCACCAGAGGTCGTAGTTTCGAGGCCAACCCTTTGTCCGGTGCTTTCCCTGCGTTCCCCAGCGTGCCTGCGCGCAAAATACATAGAAATATGTACACAGAGGCAGAGAAATTACGAAAGGTCTGTTGAAAATCTTGGGATTCTTTTGTACGATGTTTTGCTTCGTTAATTCGACATTCGGGCCAGTTGAGACTCTGTGTCATCTCCGTCTCGAGGTTTTCGTTTTACTCTTCGTTAAAAATAATTCGAGGAATTTCTCTTACTGCGCGTGACTGACGATTAGAAATGGGGGAAGGATCTTTTTCTCTTGAATAAATATCGATTCGAGTGTACGAGCATAAATGGATCGTGTTAAGATCTGGAGGAGGAACAAGAATTTTTTTTTATAAGAAATTGATACTACATAACTAGACAAAATATACGAAGATATATATATATACATTTTCCTTTTTTTTTTTATTACTTTCTCAAAGATACTTTAATTCTTAAAAAAATAAAAAAACACGCAAGCTGGTAGGTTTGATTCTGATAAATTTATCTTCAATTTATCTTGCGTCTATTTAGCAACTGATTCGCGGACCATAACGAGCGACCGAATACAACAATTCGTCGCTTTCTTTTTCATTTTCAACACGTCGGTACGATATCACCGGATAGAAATGATTAAGAAATTATTATCAACAACACTTATCAACGTTTGCTTTGCCCGGGTTACATTTCAACATTACACTCAAAAACTGTGAAAATGTTGCAATTTGGGAAAGAAGAAAAAGATCCTCGCCCCTTCTGAAAGATTTTGTAAACCATTTGTAATTCATACGTTTTCATCGACGCACAACGCCAACGACAAATTCACGAGAAGATTACCTTCGGCAAATTCAGCGAGATCGTGCAACGACGTTCTAAGCCTGAGCGCGGCGAGCCTAAGATCCATCAGGGTCGCGTCTAATCGCTGAGGCGTTCTCCAAACGGGGCTCACGAACCCGAGTAACCTGGCTATCGCGGCGGACGCCTCGCTCTGCAGCCTCTGCAGACCTTCCAAAGCGGAGTCCAGTTCCAGGGGAAGCTCCTTGCTGACTGGAACATCGTAGATCTGTTGGGTTTGCGGCGGCGGCGGTGGTGTCGGTGTTTTGGGCACGGGCGTGTTGTGCCGGGACGGTAACGAGGATGCTGGAAGACGCGATCGAGGTACATCGTAATCCTGGGCGGCCAGGCTGGATCTGAAATGGACGAAACGTTTTTGTCAGCGTGATCCAACTCTCGTTTGCAAGTACGATTTATTAATGCGAATTATGGCTCGTTCGTCGATTGGAACATCACTGCTAATTTTATTTGAAACGTGGCACAGAATGTAGTATTTTCGAGACTAGATATACTAGTATCGCTCAAAAATTCGGGGCACCCGTTGTTTCTCGAACTACGTTTTTTTTCTGAGAAACGAGGATATAATTGTAATTTCTATTTTTGAGAACGATTTATTAATTTAAAAGAGCTATCTGAGAACGTACGCAATACATAGAGAGTGAATTCTTTCATTTTTTTGTTTACCTGCGTTCTTCTGAACACTTCTGAATTCACCTGAGTACCTTTTAGAAATAGAAGTGTCGATTGTTATAAATAAAAAAGTCACGCAAAACAAGTCTTAATTAATTATTTTCAGCTGAAATATTTGTATTTATGCTTCGAGCTGTTTTTAAGGAAACAAGAATAAATGATCGATTAATATCGTAATATATAAAGATGCCTAAATAATTTTTTTTTTATTAAAATCAAATATCTAAATTAAATATTTATTTTAACTACTTATACTTAATAGATTAAATATTTTATTAAATTACTTAATTAAATAACTTATACTTTACTTAATTAAATATTTTATTTTAATTTAATTAAATATTACTTAATTAAATACTTTACTTAATTAAATATTTATTTTAACTATTTACACTTAATAATTAAAAGATTCGAATTTTTGAAGGATTTGCTCGTCAGTAGTTTTCTATTTAACAGTCTCTTTGGAAAAATATTTAGGCTAATGCAACACCGGGTAATTCAGTTCGAGCGTTGAAACGTTTCCTGTTTCTCCTTTTGTCGGGGCGATGTGCTCAATTTTCGCCGAAACAAAAGAAAACGAGAACCCAGTCCTGAATTTCATCGCTGAAAACCCTGACCGTTTGAAAAGCCATCCGAAGCGTATTTTCCATTTGATCCCGGCTCGTTTCAAAGTTTCCTATTCATTTAACCATTAGGGGCCACACTCCCACGGAGCACTATTAATCAGTGCCAATGAAAGGGAAATAGAATAGAAATAACAGTTCGAAAACTTTCGCGCCTCTCGAACTACTTCGATGTAATTAAGTGATAAAATACGACGGTTAACGATGTTATCGTCAAAGTCGAGCAATCCCCTTCGACTCGATTCGAGTTGAATTTAATTGATTTTGAAATTAAAAAGTAATTATTCCCCCGCAAAGTGACGAGAGAGCTAGAATTATGCCGAAAGATAAAGAAGCTTCTGCTGGAATGTTAATTTCAGTCTTTGCAAATTTACCTTTACAGATTTTCTTTATTTATCGTTTTCCTTTTTTTTCGTTGTTAGATATTTATCGTTGACATAGTTTTGACATAGTCAGAAATTTGACAAAGAGAAGAGAAAATCCGGGCAATGATCGAGTTTAGACTCGACGTTTCAATAATATATTTCTTTCTCCACGTACGCGGAGATAAATTTTTAAATTTCTTTTTTACTGAATATTTCAGCTTCTGAAATTATTTTTCTATTTGAGAAGAGAATAATCTTCTCATCACTTTCGATTCTTTCACGTGACTTGAATCAATCACGATGAAAATTGACTTGGAGCATAAATTGATCTTGGCCAATTGCGCTGGCAACTGATTGCGGACCATAACGAGCGACCAAACCACATACAATAATTCGCTTTCTTTTTCTTTTGAACTCGTCTGATATCACTGGATAGAAATGATTGAGAAGTAATAAATTTATTATTTGTTTTACCTATTCTGTTTTACTTAAATATAACTTAAACCTTTGAGAAAATATTGCAATTCCGGGACAAAAAATTCTCGACGTGCGTGGCACGTTATTCCAGCGCAAGAGGTTAACCACTTTGCGGACCATAACGAGTGACCAAACCGATATACGATAATTCGTCTTCTATTTGAATTCATCGGTATATCACTGGATAGAAATTACTAAGAAGTAATAAATTTATTGTTTATTTTGCTGGGTTATACTTAAATATATTTAAAACTGAGAAAATATTGCAATTTTGGGACAAAAAATTCTCGACGTGCGTGGCACGTTATTTCAGCACAAGAGAGTTAATAGAAGCAGAGAAATTGTTTTTCTCATCGGTGAACCGAAAGAATTAATTTTAGTCAGTAGATAGATTTATTACTACGTATAATTTCTCCACCATGTCACCAGCTGCCGAGAGTGTAAGATCTTTTTTCGCTGCAAAGTGAAAATCGTAAAATACGAAGAGCGCCATTGTAGACTGTTTCGTGAACTGTAAATGGAACCGATTTCTCCGAAACTGCAGTAGGAACGGCCGCTGTTTGGCACCGGTCCGGTATTTAAGCCAGTGCTTCTCGAAATAAATTACTTCCTAGCAGCTGTGTGTCTCGTTACGCTAGCGAATGCATAAAGTTCAACGTACTGGATGTTGATGCCTCGATATATAGTCATCGGATGGCCGTCGTAACGAAAACGAAAGCACGCTGAAACACGCTTCGAAACGAAATGTCAAAAAATCTTCAGAAAAAGCACGATCTAATTCTTGCATTACGATTATCTAACAACGAATTTTAAGAGTTTCAAGTCGTTATATTGTTGTATCATTCGCACGATAAATATAAAGATTCCAGCAACTACGTTCTTTTTATCTCACTAATTTTTTGCTCAAGTGAATTTGACAATAATTTTAGTTTCGTTAATTTTATGTTCAGGCGAATTTCACGATAATTCTTCGTTATGTAGAAACGAATGAGACGATGAAATTTTTAATTCACAATTTCCATTCTGATTTTTAATTCGTAACTTTCATTCTATTAAAACTGCTTCAAACGACGCATTGCATTTTGCACCTGATAATTAATAAAGGAGACAGTATTGTAAAACAGCTGATTGTCTGCGTTACATCTTGGTCGAAATTGAGTTGACAGTATCGTATGATTTTACAAGCTTTATAAGTCGTTTTATTAGATGTGTTGCATATGTTGCAAATGTTCCAATGTAAAATAGGGAAAAAGGAGTACTTTCAGTGTTTGAAAATAAAATTCTTCGTATCTTCAATGCTACCTTGGAATATATGAAATGAAATAATAAATGAAATGAAATTGTTCGTATCTTCAATGCTACCTTGGAATATAATAAATGAAGTAAAATTGTTCGTATCTTCAATGCTACCTTGGAATATAATAAATAAAATAAAATTGTTCGTATCTTCAGTGCTACCTTGGAATATAACAAATAAAATGAAATTCTTCGTATCTTCAATATAACCTTGGAATATAATAAATGTGACGTAGATCCCTAGATCTCATCCTTGTTCCATTCAATCGACATATCTTTTAGAGTACATCTTTCAGTTCAAGGTTCATCCTCAAATTACAGGCGAGCAATTTCTATTCAGAGATTTTGTTGATTAGACGAGGTACATACATCTCTGTATTTTTATACATACATTGTCATAAATATTCTTGGACTGTCTCGTTGGGAATCCCTACGTTTTTAATCGACGGAGCGTCTATCGTCCGAACGTTAACCTTTTCGCTACTGACGATAACTATAGCACACACGAGGTATATGAATAGACATTGCATGCAACGTATTTTTTCGTGGTCCTCAGGATCTCCTTGTCATTTCTGCGTCACATCCTGTCCAATTCAGTCAGATTTTGCACCGCAGTTTTATTATTAGCGATGAGAATTAGGATCAAAAAATATGGACAGTGTTGCCAGATATGTTTCTAGGATTATTAAATTGAACGTGGAGGTACTTCATCAATGAAGGAATATAACGACTTGAAACAGAGACTGATGAAAATTGGAATGAAAAATGTAGTATATATTCGACTATTGACATCCATTTAAAAGTGTTATAAAAAATTAATCGAAATATGATGTCTTTATGAACAATATAATTAGATATAATGTCGTTTTATTTACAGATGTAAATTTATTTATAATTTAATATTATTATGTAAATTCAGAGTCCGAATGAATTATTGGACTGAAAGACTGTACTTATCAAAAAAAAAATTTCTGTTGAATAATTTATTAAAAAATAAAACATTAAGTCCTGCAAATACCAACTGTAAAAACCAACAAAATTAAAAATTATTCAAAAAAAAAAAAACACCAAAAAAATCTCACCACTGTGTCACTTTGTTACAATTTAACTCAATCTTACAGCAAGTGCATTTACATATACTCGTCCATCCGTCCTAGAAACAATTAACCCCACCGTTGTGCACATCTTCTCAAAACAAAACAAAACGCTCGACGAATTGAAATCAATAAAGATTAATTAATAAATTAAAATTAATAAATTAAAATTTCGCGTTTATCTTTAACTTTGGTAGAAAGAATCGCGTCTATACTTTACTGGATTGCTCGCGTTAGCGACGATAAAGTAAAAGATCCTGGTTTGTCTAGCCATCGTGTATCGTTCGTGGATCACGTACCGGTTCGATCCGCTGAGGGATCCATCGTTGGTGAGGCTGGACGCCGAGCTGCTAGGTGTGAGAGGCTGCAACGGTCTGGGCACGTCGTAGCAATCGAGAGGCGTGACGCCGGATCCTCCGGAGCAGTTGGAGATCGGCGTGCAGGAGGTAGGTGGCCTGGGGATGTCGTAGCACGACGGTGCTGGACTCGGGCTGCTGGCTGGCGATGGAATCACGGGGACAGCTCGCGGTGGCACGTCGTAACACTCGCTCACATCGCCACCGTTGTCCACTGAACTTCTGCTGCTCGTCGTGTATCGGCCTGCGTGCACATATTTATCAGATGAACTCCCGGAGCGTTTCTTACGGTCGCGTAGATCGTGTACTTTGCATAGATCGTTCGAAATTTTTCGCACGTTCCCGACTGCTTCCTGCAAAGGGCAACAGTTGGGGAGAATTGGGATCGCGCGTGTTTTCTGGATTATTCCGGAGGAAAAGAATGATTAAAATTTCGTTGCACCACGAAAGTGTCAATTTGTTAATTTCCGCGGAATTCGAATTTTGAATTAATTGAAACAATTGATTTTACGAGAAATGAGAGTCGCGAGATTGGAGCGCATTCAACTAATTAAATATGATAAAAAGATAAGTGCGAGACGTTAAAATAATTTTCGACCTTCATACATTATTGTAGTTCAATTCTCAGAAGTATATATGTACATCATCGCTTTGCAACTGACATATTGTAATTTACGACAATAAATATCTACAATGTTCACAATACCTCAGTATCTTATACAAATCTCTAAAAATACGAAAAAATTCGATAACTCACGAGTATTCAAACTTCCGATTGTCTGTGATCCAAAGTGCAATAAATCACGATAATAATTAATAATTGTTATAGTGCAATAATTGTTACTTGCCCAACACGAATATCAACGATGTTCACAATATCTTGGTATCTTATACAAATCTCTAAAAATACGCAAAAACTCGATAACTCACGAGTATTCAAACTTCCGATTATCTGTGATCCAAAGTGCAATAAATCACGATAATAACTAATAATTGTTATAGTGCAATAATTGTTACTTCCCTAACACGAATATCTACAATGTTCACAATACCTTAATATATTGTACAAATCTCTAAAAATACAAAATAGAAAAAACTCGATAACTCACGAGTATTCAAACTTCCAATTATCTATAATCCAAAGTGCAATAAATCACAATAATAACTAATAATTGTTACTTCCCCAACATGAATATCTACAATGTTAACAATGCCTTACTATCTTATACAAATCTCTAAAAATACAAAATACGAAGAAACTCGATAACTCACGAGTATTCAAACTTCCGATTATTTCTGATCCAAAGTGCAATAAATACAAAATACGAAAAAACTCGATAACTCACTAGTATTCGAACTTCCGATTATCTATGATCCAAAGTGCAATAAATACAAAATACAAAAAACTCGATAACTCACGAGTATTCAAACTTCCGATTATCTATGATCCAAAGTGCAATAAATCACGATAATAACTAATAATTGTTATAGTGCAATAATTGTTACTTCTCCAACACGACGTGCATCCATCTCCAGTTGAATTTTACTAGCCATTAGATGCGATATCTATAATCGTTAATTTATTTACCGAACGATCGGGGTGCCATTGTTTCCACGGTGGAGGAACATTTTTTTTTTTTTGATCGACCGGTTGCGAGCGAACGGGGTCAGTCGGTCGTTAGGAGAACCGTGACAGGATCGGCGATCTTTCACCGCAGAGATTGGTTTAAGGTTTCGCGAGATAGCTTTGTAATTTCCTACGTTAATGCCCCGCGAACGAGCCACGTCCCGGATACGTCGATTCGTGAAAGGAACTAGCGGGCCATTTTTCTTCAGATCGTCCAAGATAAATAGCCGGTGGGTATCGGTAGATATTGCACGAACACCAGCGAACAGGATGTATCTCGCGGTACATCTTTCTTCTACATCATTCGCAAATCGAATGATCGATACAATAGCTCGCGATTTTCTTCCAGCGACAGTAGCGATTTTCCTTTTTCTGACAACGTTGCTCTGGTTTTGACATTTTTGATCGGCGACATTTCTGTACAGTGAGGATCATTCGAACGAAATAGATCCTCGTAATTTTATGAAAATGACGTTTCTTACAATGAACGCAATTAGTGGGAGTTTTTTCTTTTTGATAATGTCAATTGTTAAAGTTTGCTCGTTGATATTCTTGCACGAGATAGTTCTTTTCATTTAAAAGATACGTTTCTTATTGCGGAGTTTAAGATTAAATAATAGTAAATATAGTAAATAATAGTAAAAGATACGTTAATAGTAAATATAGTAAATAATAGTAAAAGATACGTTAATAGTAAATATAGTAAATAATAGTAAAAGATACGTTAATAGTAAATATAGTAAATAATAGTAAAAGATACGTTAATAGTAAATATAGTAAATAATAGTAAAAGATACGTTAATAGTAAATATAGTAAATAATAGTAAAAGATACGTTAATAGTAAATATAGTAAATAATAGTAAAAGATACGTTAATGGTAAATATAGTAAATAATAGTAAATAATAGTAAAAGATGCATTAATAGTAAATATAGTAAATAATAGTAAAAGATACGTTAATAGTAAATATAGTAAATAGTAGTAAATAATAGTAAAAGATACGTTTCTTATTACGAAGTAAAGATTAAATAATAGTATATATAAAATAAATAGTAATAAAAATTAATTAACTGATAGACTGATATTAAGAATATGGGAGTTATGGATACATTTTGACGTTAAATATAATTGAATATCTGGTGAAATGTTAACCTTTATGAAACAGAATTTTATATTAATTTATATTAATCTTGATAAAACCAATTTGAAACCAGTGGAAGAAATTTTTATGATGAATTTAAGAGTACAAATTCATAGACTCGTATGGATTTATTGATTTATTGAGAAATTCGTTTAGAATCAATGAATATTGAAAGTCACATTTTTATCGAGGAGCAATATTAAAATCCGGCACGCCGAGAATCAAAACTCATATCGTGCAGAATTTTTTTTCACACTCGGACTCGTATGTATACTCCACTCAATCTGAATGTTCCGAAAATATATGGATTCCGGTAAATCAATCGAAACATGGATTGAAGCGTGTGGATTCTTTTTTTTTTTCAAATTAACCGACTACTAAATAATGGAAAAATCAGAAAATCTGCAAAATTGAATTTGTCGCTTGCGGTCTTCGATTTGTTTTAACATTAAAAAAGTAACGAGCGATCAGTTTGTTATTGCTCTTTAGCAGACGAGGAAACAGTTATAAAAACTTGTTAATACATTCAAAACTCTTTTTGACAAGTATCAAAAAATAAAACGTAATTGTCGATTAATAGAAACAAAACTTTTCCAAGGAGACATTCATACACACATAAATAATTCTTGACAAATATTTAATATTTTTGTTGCATGCAAGTTAAGTTACAATTGTTGTAAATAAGAAAATATATTTCACATTTGTGCGTTTGTATCGTTGACATTTGAAATGCTTGAAATAGGAATTTGCTTCGAAATAAAATCACTTCGATGAAATCATTTGTTGTCAATAAATAAACGAATAAATCAATTTTACATTTGAAAGAGAATTTACATTACATTTACACTGCTATTTTTTAAAATTTGTAATTATTTAATTTATTATACTCCTAGTGCTGTTTAAATATTTCCACTATATTTCAAATTGTATCAATATTCAACGCGTTGCAGAATTTCATGCAATTTTATTGTCACGTTTAACAAAAAAAAAAAATTTTAGCTAAAGGATCTAATGTACATGGACAATTCCATGATTCTAAAAGCATCCTTTATCGATCGTACGATAAGCAAGTTTTTATTGAAAATATCGCAAGACCGCGAGAGCATTCACGAATCGATTCGTCTGGCGGTTTTTTTCGAACGGAGCAAAAGATTGTTCGATTCGGAACGACGCTGTTTAATGAAAGAAATCTGTGAATAACATCGGCGTTTTATCGATTCTCAATAAACGCTTCCTATGGGAGTATCTTGTTTTCGATCGAATACCCATGAACAAACGCGTAATGGTCGATTGAAGCGATTAAAACGTGCATCGCGAGGCAACGACAACGCGTCTGAAATTTCTCGATTATAACAGTCAAAAATCCAATTGGATTATCTTTTCTGTTTTTTCTTTTTTTTTAATTTATAATTTGTTGACTGAAGAAGAAGATCATGTTTCACGTTTGGAATTTGTAATTTAAACTTGACAGTTTTAACGAGAGAGATTTCCCAATCTTCAGATTTATAATTTAATTTCGTTACGAGAAGCGATTTATTTCTTTCAACTTTGAAATGAAAAACCTGACAGTCCCCGAGGAAAGTTTTTCGTAGTTCGTGACTTGATACTTACAAAAAATATTATTTTGTTATTTTTTGATTTCCAAGTTTGTAATTTGTTAGTACGTAAATAATATAATATAATTATTCAATCTCGAAGTGTTTGTAATTTGATATATACACCTCAAAGTGAAAAGAACAGTCAATTTCAAAGAGGCTAAATTAAAAAAAAGAAAAAGAAGAATAGATTTCTGCATTTTCTGAATTATAATATTTCTCTGTTACATTTACGCAGTCAAACTAGATGCCACGTGCAGAGAGCATAATGAACGAATAATTATTCCGTTTGCGTTTGAAATCGTTTGATACTTTTACTAATAAATTATTAAAATATTAAAATTAATAAAACGCGACCGAAAATAACGACCGAATAACAGGCATTATAGTATATCTATTGCAGATAAATTCTCTGCAACATTTGTTCCAAAACGAAATGATCGACACTGGCCAACTTCAAGGTAATCAGCTCGAAATCGAAATTTTCCACAAAAGTCAAAATCAACATTTTTCACAAAATGTGAAGTTAAAATGGTTCCGACGCGAGCACGTGAAATCATACGTAACTTTCAACAAAACTGGCTCTGTGAAATTATTGAAGTTGCCAGGTCGTCGAACGACCAATGGTCGGAGAACAAAACGCGGGGTTGCTACGCACCTGAGTTGTGTAAATGCTCGTTATTCGAGTTCAAGGGTGAATCGTGCCTGGATGGTGGCGCAGGACTTCCTCGGCTCGCTGGAAGATCGTACAGGTACACGTCGCCGCATTTCTGTGGCGTTACCACCTGCGCAAAAAACCATCGGATTAATTAGCGGCGAAATTCAAATTTGTTCGTTTAAACCTGGAATGCGCGAATCAGCGTGATTATTTCGCGAAAATTCAGCTTGCGTTCGTACAACGCAAGGCAAGATGTTATCATATTTTTCAAAACGATGTTATCCATTTCGTTGATTCAATTTCTATTCGTTTAATTGATCGACGAACCGTGCACGACGAATTATATCAATTTGTACTTCGGTACATTTTTCATGCTTCGTGGCAGATTGTAAAATAAATAATATATTTATATTACGACAATAATTGATTACAGTAACTCTCTCGATATATATATATTTGCGATTGGTCGTTTACGCAGAAATTCTGGAATTCTGGAATTATATTGGGCGAAATCGAAGAATTAAAATTTTGAGAAATTTGCTTTCTATCGCGTACTCAATTGATAGCTGTTAATTTATACGAGTATAAGGAATTATCTTGTATAAAAGATCGCGATGTTGCATCAATAAAATTAGAAACACTGGTTTCGCCAAATTTTTTTCTACGCTTCTGTTAAAAATAAACGAGTTATAAAAAAGATGCAATATTTATGCAACGAGACAGAGAATTACGCGAAACTTCGGAACGGAACATATCCACGAAGATTCACTCAGAGAGTCCTAGGCTTATTTCGAGAAAATCCTTCCGAGAGAAGATTGTTTGAGAAGTGGGGGCTTAAGAAGTGGAGAAGACCTCGCAAGAAAATTGTCTCCGAGAAGTTTAAATCGCAATCTGTCGCGGAGGGAAAGCGTGGATTATCTTCGTCAATTGAAACGACAGAAGTCTGCGAGTTGTTAATGAATTTATCGAGACGAATCTCCAATCAACCGCTGCTCCTTTCCCTCAGATTTTGCAAAGTGGACCCCCGGGGGACTCTTCTTCAACTTTCCTTTTTTTTTTTTTTTTTTTTTTTCCAAGTATCTCTCGATACCTCCCGATCCTTGGAACAGACCAGCGATGAAAC